ATCCTATATCCCAACTGGTCTTTCCTCCTCAAGAATTATGTTGCCCATGAAGGTGGTTTGGCTTTCACACTCATTTCCATACCTTCCATCTCCAACCTGTACTCCCATTCCATTCCTGATTAGCTTCTTTCTCCGGTTTGCTCCTTACAATGTTAGGTGACATGACATGTACTGCCTCCTTTCGGGGTTCACATTCCCAATTTTTTCTTCCCTCGATCTCTTTCACTTCCTGTGATCTATTCCCTGTCATGCTAATTGGTTGGGTTTGTCAACTCACTAGGCTGGCATATTTAGACTTATCCATGGAAGGTTGCCATCTCCACAACTTCTCATCAAATTCATTTTATCACCATGTCTTTGGCTGCTCACCTTTGCTGTCCTTTGGAGGAGATCATTCAGGCCAAAATGTGGATTACTCCCAATACCTTAGTCACTCATTATGTGCATGACCTGGCTGTATCTTTCTCAGCTGGATATCATCTCCCTCTTGTGGGGATTCCACACACATCTGTTCACCTTTGACTGTTTTTATTTTCAGCAACCCTTGTTTTTACCACTGATAATGGAATCCCACTCTGTGGAGAGTGTTGCCTGGTCAGGTATGATTTGCCTTAAACCTGCACTATTTACTAATTGCACTGTAACACTCACTGAAGAGATGGGGTGTTCCACAAGACCACTTGTGGCATACCCGGTGGTGTGTGTGTGTGTATATATATATATGATTCTATATATACATCAGTAGGTTTCACTCAGTGGTGGACCATCACTCATGGACTTTATATGTAAAGCAGAAGGGATTTCTGTTCATCCCTGACAACCCTTTGATTGAATAAATCAGGGTCAGTCTGCTTTTCAAACTATGGAATTGAGGACACCCATTACACTTTCTATGGTGTACCATTCCTCCATACTTCCCACTGCATTTACTTCCCCATTTTTCTTCCAATGGAGCACGGGGTTCCTTAATGTTTTCCGGTTTCCAGTCACTGGGGTGGTGGACCATGGAGGATTCCTCCTAAGTGAGTTTAGAAATTTGATTTACCACATTTACTCATGATTATACACTTAGTAAGAAGAGAGCAAAGCTGGTTTCCCTCCTTCCATTTCAACTCAATGTTTTTTCCCAGGTGGACAGCTGTTGGCTGGAGCAGATCCAGCCTACATGGGATCCTCCTTGTAATACTGGATTTGGGATAACACCACCATGTTCCTACAGTTGTGTGCAGCAGAGACCCCTCTTCTTGTAAATTCTGGTTGCAGGAGGTTCTTTCCCTACTCTTACAGTTGAGTTTGGGGTCTTCTGCTTTGTAATACAAGCAAGAGGATGTATGTACACTGTTCCTATGGTTAAGTGAATGTTCCATGTCCTCCTCATAATTCTGAATACATATATGGTTGAATGATTTATGATTTCTGCTCATAATACTGGTTATAGATATCTTTCTGTTCTTACAGCTGAGTTGAGGCAATGCCACGACCCCATAATGCTAGGTTTGGTTTGTTGTTGTTCTTGCTCCTACGGTTTTGGCCAAAAGCCAGGTTGTTTGATGTATGACACTGTTTACTTACAGTTGGGGTTGAAGAGCATATGTAACATAATCCACATGTCCTAACCACAATGTCTATGTTACAATTTTTTTGTTTTTATATTTTTTGATCTTCAACCTCCTAATGCTAAGGACGAGTTATGGAACCTCATCTGTACAGTTGAGGTTTTGTATGGACATAGCTAATTTGGTTTATATTTTACTATGGATTGCATCTCTCAGAATAAATTGCACTTGTTCACATCCTGTTTTCTGCCCATATCAGATTCATTTCCTACTTCAACGGTGAAAAGTATAACTGTTTCGCAAATAGTGCAGTACCCCACAAGCGTGCTTCGTTTTCATCTCGGAGCACACCTGGTCATTCTGGGCAGTTGCTTTCCACTGGGTTTCAGTTTTGTGTGCCTAAACCAGCCCTTCAATGTGGGATTTTAGATTTGTGTATTTCCAATAGGTACTAACCTTTTCTCACAGTTCCCACCCTTCCTCCCTACTGCCGGTGTTCTTCTTTTAGAACCTGCCAGTTCTCAAAGGTGAGGCTTGAGCTGGAATAGCAGAGGGAGCTAGCTGCCCCAATATAGGTGGTGCAATACTATTGGTGGTGAGTAGTCACATTATGTGTACATGTTCAAAAATGGCACAAAATTGATGGGGTATATAGACTGATGTGCTAATTGCAAACATTTTTTAGCAATACTTAGAAGGCAGAAAGAAGATTGACATAGCTCAGTGTGAACAGGGGTAATTAGCTATCGGAAATACATTTTCAGTGTAAGAAAAGTAACTTTTGAGCTTCCTGCTCATGGTACTCATTAGTTGACCTCTTACTAGTCAGCATGTGGAAGAATGCATGTACATATAAACAATTTTGTTTACATCACATTACTGTCTTTTCAGCTTCAGAATTCTGTGTATTACCTGTTTGTTATTCTACAGGCTTAATGGAATACATAGCAGGTGAGTTATTCTCTATTAAATGCCTATTTACCACTTGGGCCCACACCTTTGTTGTGTATGATGACTGGTATTTTTGTTATGCTCGTCACCCCTATTGACAGTTACATAGTGCCTGGGGTGAAGAAGTTATTTGATTAAAAAAAATGTCTCTTCTGTCTTAGAAGATTCTATGTTTATACAGTTTCTTATAGCTGGGACTTTTGCAGGTTCATACTTATCATTATCACATATGTATAATTAGAATATTCTGTATTCATATTGATTTGTCTGGCTGTGACTCTTAGGTTATTTAAATGTCTTTTTGTTGTTGTTCTAGATATGATTCCACCCACTGTATTGGTGCTTCATGAGAGGCCATCTGGCAGCTGATGATACTTTGGTCCCATTTCTGTACACATGTTGCTGTATGGCTTTAGAGATATCTGAGATGGGATGTCCATTCTCATCAGATGTCTTGTAGCTCCAACCAGGATGGGGAACATCCACGTTTTTACTTATTTGTTCTATATTTAATTTTGTCTTTTCATTGCTCTGTTCTCAAGTTGTTGAGCCCCATCCTTGAAAAAGCTTGGGCCTTTCTTTGGTTTTCCTTGAGCACTCAGTTGTTTGGCCAGTTTTGGAGATGGATGAAGTGGGGTTAAAATTGTTGGAATATATTCACTCATACTTTTTGACTGGGATGCTTCTCCAAGAATCTTTCACTACAGGAATGTGGCATAGTATTTATTCCTTCTAACTGTTTACACCATCTCTGCTCCCAGTGTTGGCTCCACAAGTAAACACATTATTGCCCTCATTGGCTCTTTTTTTTTGTATGAACCAAAAAGCATTAAAGATGAAGAAATACTTTGCTGAGAAGATTGTTTGTTTTGAATTTCGCGCAAAGCTACACGAGGGCTATCTGCGCTAACCGTCCCTAATTTAGCAGTGTAAGACTAGAGGGAAGGCAGCTAGTCATCACCACCCACCGCCAAATCTTGGGCTACTCTTTTACCAACGAATAGTGGGATTGACCGTCACATTATAACGCCCCCACGGTTGAAAGGGCAAGCATGTTTGGTGTGATGGGGATTCAAACCCGCGACCCTCAGATTGCGAGTCGAGCGCCTTAACCACCTGGCCATGCTGGGCACTTTTTGAGCATCCTTAGGTTCAGACTTTTGATAAGGCTTGTCTGTTGCACTCATTTTTCTAGGAATTCTGTTATTTGTATTTGTTGTTCTGGTTTATACTTCAACTATGCTTGACCACATTGTTTGTGTGGTCTCAGTTACTGCCTGCCTTGTAATGTTTATATTTTTGTCTAATCTTAACTCTCACCAGTTTTTACCTTTTTTGCAGTGTGGGTATTTGGGCTTTCAGTATTTCAGAGGAATATTTACCTGATTTGAATTTAAAAGTTTTAAGATTAATATGAATTTCAAACAGGTACTTATCTCTGAAATACTTTCCAGTCCACCTCCTCACAATTGGGTTATACATAGTTTTTCTCACAACTACAACTTAAAATTTTCAATTGGAGTTTATCTGAGATCTCCCAGTGTATGTGCAATAACTTACAGAAAGTAGAAGAGCAGAGAATTATGGATAATTGATGAATGCTTTGCACTGCATGAAAGACATTCAGAACTTTGAATCACGTGGTTGCTGTCAGCATGAGAGCACACTCAGCAACAAAAGTAGAAAGCTGCATAGAGTATTTCAGGATCCTAAAAACGTAAAACTAAACAAAAAAGGTATTTTGAAGAGATAGAAAAACAAGATGAGTTATGAATAAAGCTGTAAACTAAATAAAGTATCTTCAAGAAATAGAGAAGCAAGGTGAGTTATGAATATATCTGTATCTTAAAAAAAAGGAACATTAGTCCTTCAGGTTCTGTCACACACGCTCCTTACAAAAAGTAAACGTAACTGAAATTCACCCTTTATTTTTCAGAAAATCACTTATTTCCCCCTCTTAAACTCTTGTAAAGTGCTATCCTTCACTAACACCCAATAGAAACTTATTCTGTTAGATAGGCTTCAATTTCTAATGTGGTGATTATCTTCTTTTTGACAAATCTTAAACTTGTCCTATCTTATGGTGCAATATGTGAGCCCGATTAGTTGTGAATGGTATATAAACAAGTCAATAATTTGAGGGTTAAGGTTTAAAAATGTAGATTTAGTTGAACCCTAGATAACATAGTAAATTGGGCATAAATAAAATGGTTTGTGTATTTTAGGTTGTTTCTTGTTTTTTATTTATCAAAATCATAATACTCCAACTAGCTCAAAGACTGAAAATCTTATCTCTGCCTTTAGAAAAGTGCATCAAATAATACTGTGTGTGTGTATGAAGGATACACATGGATCTTCTTTCATTATAAGCATTTACAAGTTAGATAGTTTAACTTTGAAAAACATGCAGCACTGAAAGATTCAAGAAGATTTCTAGTAAACATTTTTTTATTTCTTTCTTTCAAGTTATTAATTAAGCTTTGTATTACATAGAGCAGGATCGTGGAGAGACAGAAGAGATTGACAAAGATGTCATCAGCCATCGTTTGAAGCAAGATGCTGTAAGTCTGTGTTGTTGCTAATATGTAAGACTTTATTGAATGTTATTAAGCACTTCAATGTGTATTGTTTTTTTGGGTATCTTTAATAGATGACTTAAACCTACACATAAAACATGCTTTCTCTGGTGGTCAGCTGTACTGACATATTTGGTAAAAACTTTTAAAAACAACAAGGTAAGAGAAAGATTAATCTGATTCAGACTGTTTCAAGTTTGAGATCAGGTCTATCATTTTTGTGGCTGTATATCATGGTAATATTTCCTTATTTTCATTTAATACACTTAAGCCATCAACCATTGTACAAATAATTTATTAATATTCAAACAGAATTTTTTTTAACAAGTTCAAATCCTGTGTTTTGGTGTTTAAGAGAACATAGATATTTCAATAAAAGTATTTATTCATTTGTTGTTGTGGAATAGTTTATCAGTTCATTAACACTAATGACCTAGTTTTCAGTAACTCATTTAATAAAGAGTTTAATTTTATTTATCACTTATTCTTAAAGCCTGGTGTGTGCAACATTTGTACTTGAGCTTTGTAGAGTTTATTTTATACGTGAAAGTTGAAACTTCATTTTGTGCCTGAAAACTTTAAATCATTGAAAAATCATCCTTTTCTTTGCCAAAGTATTGGAGAAAAATAAACCAAAATGTTATTATTTCAAGAAGAAAAACTCTAGAAATGGACATATTTTGTAAGAGTTTTGATTTGAAAAAATGTAAATTGCTGCTGAAACTTTAATAAAAGCAAAGAATATGGTGGTAATAGTATTAACATTTTAGAAAAAATAAAATAATCAGGTATTTATATATTACAAATCTCAAGCTCTCTGTTTCCTTTAGCTCGAACAGGCTGGGGTGTTACAGAGGAAAGTGGCAGACAAGGTAATGTATTAAGTTATTTCACTCGGCAACTTGATTCCTTGTTACTCTTGGTTTATTTTCTTTAGTGATTGTGATGTGTGACTACCTTGATTTATTTACTTCAGTGATTGTAATCATATTGACTGTTTGATTTATTTCCTTCAGTGGTTGTAATTATGAAACTTCTATAATATATTTCCTTAAGTGATTGTGAGCCTTGTGACTACCTTGATTTATTTCCTACATGTATTGTGATACATGTGTCTTGATTTATTGTCTTCAGTGCTTGTGATGCATGCGAATGTCTTGATTTATTTCCTTCAGTTATTTCAATCTATGCAACTGACTTGACTTGTTTCTTTCAATGATTGTGATTCATGTGAATGTCTTGATGTATTTCCTTCAGTGATTTTAACCCATGAGACTGTCTTGATTTATTTCCTTCAGTGATTTCAATCCATGCAACTATCTTGATTTATTTTCTTCAGTGCTTGTGATGCATGTGAATGTCGTGATTTATTTTCTTCAGTGCTTGTGATGCATGTGAATGTCTTGATTTATTTCCTTCAGTTATTTCAATCTATGCAACTGACTTGACTTGTTTCTGTCAATGATTGTGATGCATGTTCTCTTCTGTTCTGAAGTTGTTTTAGATCTAACTTGGATCAGATGATTGACAATTTTAAATGAGTATCATATTAGTTATAACACACATTTCTGAGGACTTAATTATTAATATTAGCACAAGCTTCATCTTGTTGTTTGAGGAAAATGAATTGAACATCATCTGTATAACTGTATACATTCTTATTTAATATTTTAAAAGAATTCATTTTTAAGTAACTTTAGGACTATCAAGTGTCATATAGAAAAATAGAAGTTTGTTTGCTCCAAAATACACAATTGCATCATCACAAGATTGGTGTTTTCTGTGATTTGAAAATGTTTTGAACGATATTTGTGCAAATTTTAGAAACTATTGTCTGTGTACATTTTCCACTTATATCTTTAGTCGTTTACGGTTTACTGTTATTTTTATTCATATCTTGAACCACCAAATGGTGGATTTCAGAGTTAACCACATATTGTGCACACCGCAAGTGTTGAATATTTACACAGACAGTGTAATATTTTAAAATAATTCATTTTTAAGTAACTTTAGGACTATCAAGTGTTTGTCCTTATAAATGTAGTTCTATACAGTTGAAACTTAAATAGTAGACAGTGCAGACTTGTATACATTATGAACTTTGTGATTTACACTATGGACTTGATATTTTACATTACACCAGTGCTTTCCAAATTTTTTGATGGCGACACACTATGTATGTAAAAAAAAATAATTTTATACTGCAGAGGTGAGTATGAACTAATATAAACTGGCACATCAGGGCTCCCCACTTTCCTGCCACTATACAAAGCTGTATTGATGAACCTTTTTAGTGTTGCATACTCAAAAAGAAATAAAAAAACATTAGATATTTTTGCGTGCCACATTGGTGAGCAAATTAAATAATATTTTATATTACTGAATTTTATAATAGCTATAAATTGAAATAAAAACTTGACATTTTGTTTAATTTCCAAAAACGTGGTGACATCCCTCAGGGCATGACATGCACCATAAGGTGTCGTGACACCTACTTTGGAAAGCACTGCATTACGCACTTAGTGGTGTGCACTATGAAATTTGTGATGTACTCTGTAAATGAATAATATCCATATATATATATATATAAAAGCTAAGGGTCTGTTGTATGTCCCACTTTTTAGTGGTTAATTTTAATGTATCATCAAAATGTTTTTTTTTTAGCTGAAACTTATAATCATGAGTTTTTGGTTTGTCTTTTTTAAAACCAAAATGTCACAATTTATTATTTAACTAATGATGCTCATAAACATTTTACTGATATACAGTAATGCATGGCTTATATGCACACTTTCTCTACACTCAGAACTATGATTAAAGGTGTTATATTTTCTTGAAGTTTATTTTTTATTTTTAAAATTTTTTTATTGTACATGGATTAATAAAGTTTATTTTACATGGGTTTTAATGCTCAATAATTTAATACCTATAATTTTATTAAATGTTAATTAAATACATACATGAATTGGTGTATAATGTGTTCGAGGTCATTTTACATTTCATCACATTTCTGAGTTAGTAACTGTTTATTTCGCAACTCTTTCAACTTAAGTCTAAAAATTTTAGTGACAGTACATCCAACTCCAGTCAGTGATGGATGGGAAATTGTGAACTATAAGTGTTAACATGAGTTTTTTTGCTTTTAGTGAAAATAAATAGAACTATCGATTATTGGCAGGCAATACTGTTAGTTCTTTATAAACATGGTGATGTACTCAGTGAACTTGACTTTTTTACACTATAAACTTGGTTCTTTACACTATAAGCTTGGCTTTTTACACACTAAACTTGGCTTTTACACTATAACCTAGGTTATTTGTACTATAAGCTTGACTTTTTACACTCCAAACATGGTTCTTTATACTATAAACTACTTGATCCTTTACACTTAGATTGACTGTAGGGTTTTGTTTTGATTCTGTAAATTTATTGACTTGATTTTTTTTACCGTATAAATGTGACTCTTTACACTTTGAATTGGGTTGTGTATACTATAAACATTTTTTTTTTTACATTTGTAACTTGGTTATGCACTTTTTGAATTTGATTCTGTAAATTATTAACTTGTTGATATACATAAAGGACTTGCAGCCATACACTGTTTAGTTTTTGTTAAACCTTGAAGCGAGTGGTGTACGTTGTTAACTTGGTAACACACTGTGAACTTGATTATGTACACTACAACTTAATAATATATATTAAGAAAATAATTACTACTTACATTTAGTGATAAACCTTGTAAACATAGTTTTATACCAACTTTTTATTAACACAATGGACTTAGCTAAGTTTACTAAGAATTGAGTGACAAATATCATGAACTTAATTATATACACATTGAACTTTACTGGTATAGGGTGTAAACTTTGTAATTTACACTGTAAACTCTAATCTTAATGGAGTACGATGTACACTTAGTATACACACTGGGAAATTAGTGATACACATTGGGAACTTACTGATAAACACCCTAATATTAATGGAGTACAGTGTAGATTTAGTGATAAACAATGGGAGCTTATTGAATTGTAACTAACTTGTTATGGGCAGGTTAGTGTGCACGTGTCATGACTTTTTTAGACAGTTACTATCAAAATTTTATTAAACTACTTTATTATCATTGTATATGAATGTAGTTAATAAATAAAATTATAATATTATATAAGTTTTAATGTTATAAGGAAATACTTTAAAAAATCCTTAATCTCCCTTAGTATGAGAACTGTGACATTTGCTCTCTAGGTCTCCCTTCTTATCTAATTTATTTAACACCCCTTTGAAAAGTAAGGAACTTAATGTAAAATACTCAATATAATATAGATATTACTCAGACAAAGCATAATTTTTATATCTTTATAAAACTCAGTATGTTGGATTATCAATTCTAGTTTACATTGCTTAGATTTCTTTTCAAGCATTTTCCGAAGCATCTCTTGTAATGCTCTCACAAAGGAGTTTTGTTTCTTCCTTCAAGAGTTGAATCATTTCACCAATTCCCACCTGGTTTAACCCTTTCATAAAACAAGTGAGCCATATTGGTTGTTTGATACAGTCCATTAATTTCATCATCTCTTTCAAGCAAATCTGTTTAGATTTAACTATCTTCTGTCATTTTCAAAATAGTAATAACACATTTTCTGACTGCTTCGTAATTCATACTTGTCTCTCTCACTTCAGTTCTCCACAAATAATTGGGTGTATTTCTGCCTAAGCTTAAATTCCTCTTTGTATATTTTCTTTTGCATCTTTCATTTAGAATCAAACTTTTAAAAGGATATATCTTGTTATTCCACTTTTTTATACCACTTTTTCTCATTAAACTCCATATCGTATTGTTTTTCCATTATGCCTTTCCACTGTGCTGACTAACCCTATGGACATAGGTTGGGGTACGAGGGCATGTCATTACGTTTGTAGAGTTACATTAAAATTTATTTTATAAATGTATGTCAGTAAGTGTGGCATCAAATTGTAGGTTATAATTCAAATTTCAGTATTATAAATTAGTTGATTTCTTAATTTGAAAGTAAATATTAAAAAATAGGCTAAATATCAATTTTTGTGAGTCACGTGGCATGTTGCCTTCTGGGTTTGGGCAGATTACTTTTATGATGCCCACAATACAATGTGTATAGTTTCTTATTAATTAGAAACTCAAATTTCAGATATTAGCAAGCTAGAATATAAAATAAGAACTTCCTATCTTTTCTGTTTGCTGCGATATCTCAATATTTAGCAAATCCACCATTATAGCTCCTCCCACCACTTCATCATTTGAGAGAACTTATCTTCTTGTACTTTTGTATACCAATAAGTTTATAACCAATCGAAAGCTCTACATTTCTTCTACATAATTCTGTCATTCTTCCTAATTTATTTACAGAACAGAAATTGGATTTTTTTGAGACCGAAATACAATTTAGTTAGGAAACCTGGTAAATTACAGTGGATTTTTGGAGTATCAGTACAGTAATTTATATTTTTTTGGTATTCCAAAACGCATATATAAAGTCTACAAAAATTATTATTTTTCCATCTTCACATGTGAATTTGGACGAGGCTTAGCAAGTACGACTCATGAGTGCAAATAAGAACTTCCTAGCATCATAAGTAGTAGAGGTTATCGTTTTCCAAATATTTTTTATTTACTGTTATATTTTTTAAGAAAAATAACTGACATTTAAGTATTTATTTGGAAATAATAATATATATATTCATACATATGTCATGTATGGTTACCAAAATGTTACTGTATTTTACAAAATACTGGCACACTAGTGCTAAGAGTTAGAGATTTGTACTTTGCTTTATTACAGAGGAATATAATTGTTTATTGAACTTGTGTTATTTTTCTACTCGTTTACATTGAAGT